TTTTTCTTTCATAGTTTATTTTTGCTCTGTAGGCAGCACCCTAGGATGTTTTCAGAATTCCCCCCAATCCTCTTTGAGTTCCTGGTGCAGTTCCTGGAAGAAAAGCTTGCATAGGAATGTGGCCCTCCTCATGTGCAGCCCCTGAGGCTGTCACATCACCTGATGCACCACTGCTCTTCAGTCACTTGGTCAACATTTCCGAGTTAACCTTCCTGAAACATATGGCATTTGACAGTGTCTTCCCTATATTTTTAAATACTTAAGTTCTGTTTGTCCCTGTGGACAACCGTCACTTTCTGGATTACAGTTTTTGAGTGTGTAGTAATTGATCATCAATAGAAGGTTTATGTGCATCTTGTCATCTTCTAGAGTGTACTTGCCATTGGGTTGACATCATCAAGCAAGCAAGTGGACTCGCTCAGCTGGAGGATAGCAGGCATTTCTATAGCCAGTGACCCCAGCGGGGCTCTCACTCTCCAAGACCTATCAGGCTCATGCGTCTGGCTACTGTGCAGCCAGCAAGGGGGATCAGTGCCCACCCATGAGGGACTTTTTTCTATGTCCCTCCCACTTTGTAAATGGAAGTTTTTGCTTCAGCCTGGATGTCGTGCATGTGTTTTCATTTTTTGTACAATGTACAGAATCACCCACAAAGCTTACAGTGAATCTAATGGAACTATAGAGAGTCATACATGATGTGTCTCATGACCAAGGTCTCCACTTCTCATTGAAGGACATTCCTCATGGGATTCACCAGAAGTTGCATTCTTTCCATAGACATGGGTCTACCTCTAAATGCTTAGAGACCTTATCCTCTGAGAAGGGACACAGGAAATCAGGAGTCACAGAACCTGTCTGAGAATATACATTTTATGAATCCTCTAAAAAGAGTCCAAATAGGAATACCCCCACTCACTTTTCCTCTTAACTGGCATCATTACCAGGCACACACTTAAAGAACCTGTGGTGCTTTAAGTTAATTTAGGCTTGGTATGCCAAGGGACCACCAAAAAAAAAAAACCCAATTCGTTCATATAAGTTCATTTGTTGTACCATATTTACGATGCTTGGGAAGGATGGTGATAGTGGGCAAGGCTGTGCATATGTGAAGCAGGGGCACAGAGTAACTCTCTACACCTTCTGTTCAATTTTGTTGTGGTCTTCAAACTACTTTTTAATACGTTTTTATGTAAAAGGAGTGACAGATATTTTGGAATACATTTGGGGCTGTTTTTAGAAATCATATTTAGTCTTAGCCATGTTACCAGCAATCTCACTCCAAATTATTTATGTATTTTATTTTAAAACTTAGGTCTGCACAAAGCCTCCATGGGAATCTTTGCATCAGCCTGATTGATTGCTGCCCTTACCGCTCTGTGAATTTTGCATATGGGGTCTCCGTTGAAAGAAATAGTTCCTATATAGAGTGTATACGTAATTCTCAATTGTTTAGCCCATTTTCTAAACAACTTTAAACATTGTAAGCCCTGTAATCTCCTCAAATTCAGCCCAGCTGCCTCCTCCCTGGGTTTTCTGACACTCTCAGAATGTGGGTTTTCACACTGTGTATCTTGCACAGTAATACACAGCTGTGTCCTCAGATCTCAGGCTCCTCAGCTCCACATAGATTGTGCTTATTTACGTGTCTCTGATAATGGTGACTCTGCCTTCGATCTTCTGTGCATAGTTGGTGTTACCATTGTAAGGCGTGATCCATCCCATCCACTCAGGCCCTTGTCCAGGGGCCTGTCACACCCAGTGCATGTAGCAGTGAGTGAAGGTGTATCCAGAAGCCTTGCAGGAGACCTTCACCGAGGCCCCAGGCTTCTTCACCTCAGCTCCTGACTGCACCAGCTGCATCTGGGAGTGGGCACCTGTGGGGAGGACGCAGGAGTGGATAAAAGCTCCCTTGGCTGGACTCAATCCCCTCCTCATCACTGGGACTTGGGAACCTCTTACCTGTACCTGCTGCCACCAAGAAGAGGATCTTCCAGGTCCAGTCCATAGTGAGGAGCTGAGCTCTCAAGGGATTCTCTAGAGGAGGGATGTGGTTGTTGGGTGATGCTCTCAGGGCACAGAACATATTTACTTCAGTGGATCTCGGGTTATTTACATATTTATGAAACAGAGCATTTTATAGCTGAAAGCGTGATCCCTGATAAGAAAGAGAAAACAAATGACACATTAGCCTTACAAGAGTGGGATGCTGATGGTCCAAGCCCAAGTCCTGCTTGAGAAATGCAGACCCTGGTCCATTTAGAAATATTTCTGGACAGAGGTCCTTTCACTGAAGAATAAGCCCCCTTAGAACAGGCTCTTCACTGTGAACCTGCATTTGATTAGCATGGAGAACACTTGGATCATTTTTGGGACCATCAATCTTCATGACACTGAGTAGGTGCCTTGGCCTTATCCTGAATCTGTCAGGCACCAACACAGCTCACTGGTGACTCTCAGGAAGTGACTGCTGAGTTTCTACGTGAGTGTCCATCAGGTTCATGTGAGATCCACTGGGCGCTCCTGAGGCAGTGTCTCTAGCACCGGCCTGGTGCCTGATCCCCCAGTATCTTCAACAGAAACTGCTCTTGGTTACTGATTTGTCCTGTGATGCATAATTGGAGATGATTTTCTTATATCAAGGACACTAGGAATTAGAAGTTGAAAGTTTGGAGTTCTTTATTAACTCACTGCTCCAAAAATAATTTCCAAGTAATTTGTATATTGAATAAGTTTGGATTTTGCTTCCTACTTCATTTAATAGAATTTCATTAAATGATTACATAATTTTAGTTCATATTCATAGATCCTCATATTTTCATATTGATTTCTGACTCACTAGGTCTGTGCACCTGCCACACTCCCAGATCCACCTGTCACTCACACAATGCAGGAAACATTACTTAAGAGAGATATCTGAATTTATTATTCATAGAAATATAGTGACTCCCACAATCCTATATTAATTGAATTAGTAAAACCATCCCTATTCTTCATATTCTCACTATTAAGATATTTATAATCCTAGATCCCCACTATAAAAAATAGTTCTCATTGCCTTAAATTTTTTGCATGGTTCCAATGTGATATAATATTTAAGGGCACATCAGCAACTTGTTGAACTCTTATTTTAGCTTTCTTTTCTGACAAAGGAACACCCATTGTCCCCTGAGACAAAACCTTCTGAGCAGCCTCCTGTGCACCTGCTTCTAGGCTAGGCCCTGTGCTGTGTGGCTCCTGAGTGCCCCCTCCAGCCCAGCCCTTGCCTCTCAAGGAGGTTCCTGTTGGGGCTCACAAAGCATTTTACCCCAGCTTCTCTAGCCCAGCATGAAGTGGCTGTGTCCTGGTTTATAATTCCCCTTTAGTGACACCATATGCTGCTGACAACATCTCTTAAAATAATTGATTGGCCTTACTAAATCTATTGGACTCTGCAGAGAGACCAAATCAAGGATTCTATGACACAGGAGGGAGCCCCTTCTTGGAAGCTCCAGATTCACTTAATTATTGGACCCACAATAAATACAAAAACTTACAGGAGATTTGGGAGTACCTTGTTTCTTCATTGGGCTCCTGCATGTGAATGTTGCATCTGAGAATACCAACAGGTGCAGCTACTTTGAGATGAAATCTCACTCCATATCCACTATTCTAATAACACACATTTTCACTTCTTCCTTGTACTTATCCTGTAGAAAGTGTCTCCTACCCTGACACTAGGCCCAGGTGTCTGACTTTTTTCCCTTAGAGATCTAAAGCAAACAGGAAACAAGTGGAGACTTGGGAAGAGTACGCAGCATTATTTTCACTTTCTCAGCTAGGAACTCAGCAAAGGCCCCATGATAAAAGAAGTTGAGGTCAATGAGGGAGTTTTCAAGACCTTAATCTTAAAAATGGTGATGTCAGAGGTTTCATGTTGCTCTACTGTCCTCGTCTTACTCTCTGCCAGTTAGTTAGAATGGATTTTGCAGTGAGAGTAAGCACGGCCTGTTCTGACACTGGAAACCTAGAGACTCGATCAGCTTCCTCTTCTGGGCTGTGACCTTGACCATGCGTCTCCAGGGTGAAAGCTCATTTTTGGCCACCTCTGCCTGTTGTAATTGCAGTGTTCCTGGACTATTTACTTTCATCTTACCCTATTGGTTAACTTTACTCATTTGTATAATAATGGAAGAATGGGGGAGAAATTAGGAATGGGATATTTGTTTTCCTTCACAGAGGCTAAGGTTCTGGAAAAGTCCTTCCCTGTAGAAGCTTTTGAAGAAGGATCCTGGTATGTTTCTCAGTAATTAATCATCTCCAATCTGACACACAGAAAATGTATTTGGATTGTAGTTTTTAGAATCTAGAGGTTTCCGGATAGAAAGTCCAGAAAACATAGAAGAACAAGACCCTCTGGAACTGTCATATTTACCGAGTCCACGACTGTCTTTCAGACGTCTATAGTGCTTACCATATAGGTGCCCTCAACAGCTCGTGGCATCTGCAGCTTCTGTTCCAGTTAAGCAAGTGTCAATTGCCATTCTGGACATGCCAGTATCTCCTGGTTTTTGAGTGGGTTTTTTTTTTTTCAATTTCAGTTACTTAATATATTCCAAAAGTATTGAGATTCAGATTATGCAGAATCGTTTTGACATAAAAATGGGGTGGTAAATTTTATAATCTACATCTTGGACCATAAACCAAAAATACAAACAAAGATCATAGAATTCGAATCGTATTACATATAACTGACACCTATTCTGACATAAATGAACAGGCAAGAAAATGGAGAAAGGATATGGCACCATGTTTATGAAAAAGTCTCAACAATTTTAATTTTCTTCTGAGGAAGCTGAAATTGTTGAAGTAAAACAATGTGACTGGTCATGTCTCAGGTGATGTTTTGTTCTGCAAAGTATCTCCAGTCCTGGGCTAGATACAGTAGGTGCATCTGGACACCCAAACCTGAAATAGGTACTCTTATTTTTTAAACATGAGGCATTCTAATGAGAAAGCTGTTCTCAGATGCAGAGCAGGGAGTAAAAGATGGAGCTGTCATTGGTTTCCCAGAGTTGCTGAAACTTGAAGACCAAGGCCACCTCTGAGGAGCAGAGATCCACCTATGAGAACACCACATCAGCTCTGTCTACAGGAATCTTTGGTTGTGTGGGAAGATAAGAAATACAGTTTATTCCTTTCTATGAATGCAGTGTTTTTCAGAGAAAATGAAATTAAAAATTCAATAAATATTTTTTGCCATATTAGTGGAGAGAACATATATAAATCATCGCAATATAAGTGCTCACAGCATAGCTTGCAGAAGGAGGAAGTTCCCAATTGAGAAAAGGAGGTGCCCTGCCCCAGGAAGCAGGTGCCCTAAGATCATCCCCTGAGTACTGCCGTCTAGATGCCAAGCCTCAATGGAACCTGGAATTCTGCCTAGGATGTTATGAGTAGTATGGAGAGCAGAGCACAGCTCCATTTCTCCTCACTGTGAGACCTAGGATGTGGCCTCTTCCTCTGAGCTTAATTTGAACAAGGTGTTAATATAGAATTGCAGCATTAAATTTACCTGTAACCTTACAGTTAGGAGCCAGTGCTGTTCCATATTGTTATCACTATTTCTGTCCCCAACCTTAGAAACCAGAACAATACCTGTGTGTCCCCCTCATTTCAGGCCTCAGATGATGACTTTTCAGAGAACACTCCTGCTTCATGTCTGTCACTAACATGGTATTGGATACCAGAAAGTATGTGTACCTTGTTACATTCTATGTTAATTAGGTTGCAACTGACAAAATTAGAATTATAAATGACACTTAAAAAATTTAGCTGTGTGGATTTCTAAGCATACTGTGGATGACTTTTTTGGTTTCTCTTTGCTTAATATAATGTGAATGGAGAGAGATAAAGAGTAGCTATTCAGCAATGTGTAATAAGGTATTTTATAAGTAAAAAAAGGTTCTTTTACTTTATAAGTCAAATAAGGTATATAAAAATACTTTATTTCATTAAGGTATTAAGGTATTTTTCATCTTCTGGAAAACTTATACAACTTTTTAAAAAATGATGGAACTTTAAGACATATTTCTGTATTCTAGATACATGACTAATATAAACATAGATTTAACTGCAAAAAGAAGTACAAAGACAATGAAAATTCTACAACAGAAAATTTTGCCAAAGAGGCGGCTTTATACTAGTTGTAATTTTACCTAAATTTTTCAAAATATAAACTCCAGAGACATCCAAATAAGGAATTATAACATTTCAATGTTAGATGAGTAGTTGAGAGAATGTCAAACTAACATTATTTTGATGAATCATACTTCAATAATACAACTGTGTCTAATAGTTCACCTATTCAAGGGCTTCTAGGGTAAATAGTTTCTGCCTCCGCTACTTGGGAGTCCTGGTACAACCCAACATTCTCTAAACATGGTGGCCACTAAAAACAGAGACTGAAGTTTGAATATTCTGATGTAATTTTGAAGTTTTGAGAGATCTACAATTGCTGACTGGGGTGATTGTTGAGGGTGGTCTCTATGAGCCTAGTCTTTGAAGAGTAGGGCTCTTTGTTTTGATGATCTCTGAGCTGTTTGTTATAGCAACAAAGACAGTCAAGAAAAATGAAGAAACAGGGAACATGGTCCAAACAGAGGGACAACATAAAGGTCCAGAAACTGGCATGAATGAGAAAAAAAGCATATGTATTTCCTGGCAGAAAAATTCAAGCAAATATGAGAAGCATGTTTAATAAGTTAGTGCCATTGCTTTTGGTGTGTTAGTCATGAAGTATTTGTCCATGCCTATGTACTGAATGGTAAAAGCCAAAATAAACAAATGGGATCTAGTTAAACTTAAGAGCTTCTTCACAGCAAAAGAAACTATCATTAGAGTGAACTGGCAACCAACAGACTTGGAAAACATTTTTGCAATCTACCCATCTGACAAAGGGATAATATCTGGAATCTACAAAGAGCTTAAACAAATTTACAGGAAAAAAAACAAACCACCCCATCAAAAAGTGGGCAAAGTATATGAACAGACATTTCTTAAAATAAGACACTGATGCAGCCAACAAACGTATGAAAAAAAGCTGATCACCACTGGTCACTAGAGAAATGCAAATCAAAACCACATTGAGATACCATCTCATTCCAGTTAGAATGGCGATCATTAAAAACTCAGGAGACAACAGATGCTGGAGAGGATGTGGAGAAATAGGAACGCTTTTACACTGTTGGCAGGAATGTAAATTAGTTCAACCATTGTGGAAGACAGTGCGGTGATTCCTCAAGGAGCTAGACATAGAAATAACATTTTACCCAGCAATCCCATTACTGCGTGTATATCCAAAGGATTATAAATCATTCTTTTATAAAGACACATTCATACATATGTTTATTGTGGCACTATTCACAACAGCAAAGATTTAGAACTAACCCAAATCCCTATCAGTGATAAACTGGATAAAGAAAATGTGGCACATATACACCATGGAATACTATGCAGCCATAAAAATGATGAGATAATATACTTTGCAGGGACTTGGATGAAGGTGGAAACCATCATTCTCAGAAAACTGGCACAAGAATAGAAAACCAAACACTGCATGTTCTCACTCATAAGTCGGGTTGAACAGTGAGAAGACATGGATACAAGGAGGGAAATGTCACACACCAGGGCCTGTCAGGGAATGGGGGGTAGGGGAGGGATAGCAGGGGGTGGGGGAATTAGGGCAGGATAGCATTAAGAGAAATAGCTACTGTAGTTGACAAGGTGATGGATGCAGCAGACCACAAGGTCACATGTATACCTGTTAAAAACCCTGCACATTCTGCACATATACCCCAGAATTTAAAGTACAAAAAAAAAAAAAGAAAGAAAGAAAGAAAGAAAGAAAAAAATAGTGGTAGCATGCAAGAACAATGTGAGAATTTTAATAGAAATAAAAAAATTAAAAGAAGACTAAACAAAAATATTGGTGTTGAAGAATATAATGAGTCAGCCAAAAATTTTACCGGAGCACCCTGTGGGATAGGCTCAGGCTTTCCTCCCCCCTAGAGCAGGTAGCCCTGAAATTTCCCTAGACATTAATCACTGTTTCCTCCCTCCCACCTTCTGGGTTCTCCTCAGAGATGCCCTGGACTCCAGAGTTCAGGTTCTCACATGTTGTGTGACTTTGGGTGTAAACACCCTGAAACACTGAGTGGCTGTTGGCCTTGATCACTTGATCATCATCCACATTTTAGTTGATGAGATTTTTCTTACCTCATTTTGGAGGACAGAAAACCAACCCATGGACTCTACCAAGGGCAGAGTGACTTCTCTCTCTTTCCCTTGGTAGCTGCGAATGGAGCCCCAAATATAATAGAAATCAATGAACACTGCAGGTCTCACAACACTTTCTTGGTCAACTGGTCCAACAGTGTGAGGACCACAGCAGCAAAATTATTTCATGAGACTAATTCTGCACCCACTGCAGGCACATTTCTCCTTATGTACCGGGACCTCCAGTCCATGGCAGCCTGTGATTAAGGAGAAGGAAAGAACCATCCTTGAAATTTTCACCATACATGTGGTAAGAGAAACTGATATTTCTGTCCACTGGTTTCCAGACCCAGGTATTGTAGCTCCTGGCCACTGGGCACTGTGGTGCTTTCTGTTTTGGGGCATTTAAGTATCCTGGAGAATAGTTTTATCCCAAAATAAACCTTCATTAGAGATTAAATTTCCTACTATAAACAGTAGAATGTAACACCTGGTGAATATCTAATATTAGACTATGGAGACTTAACCCTTTTATTGTTCTACTGGAGTCTTTGTGTCTGGGCAAATGTGAAGGAGAAAGAACTGCTGCCTCTCATACTCATGTTCCCGTGTTCAAATCTCCTGTCTCATAACTATAGCTACATTCCCTCCTGTCAGAGCACATTACGCAGTGTCTCATTCTAGGGAATAAGATATTCAGAATCTTGGAAATTCGCATGAGTACCTTCTCTATAATTAAGAAAAACATACATATGAAGGTAAGATTTAATTCTTCTAAGTCCAAATTACTACCTATTAGGTTTGAATCTTGACTAAAAATTTCAAATTGTATCCATGTGACTGGTGGGTATCCTTACAGGATGTAATTACTTTGTTAGACAAATATGATATCTACCACTATCAGCTCAGGCACTTGATGAGAGGTGATATGTCAGTCTGCTTGGAGGAATCTATTGGGATTCACTTGGGGTGGTGTGCAAAATATTAAGAGAAATACTAGGGAAATGATATAAGATATCTTTTGGAAGGCCGAAAGGTTTTTATTAACTTATGGAACCGGCTGAAGGCAGCCCATTCTTATGTTAGAACTTTAGGCCATAGAGTGAAAATTAGGAATAATAAAAACTTCCCCAGTTAATTCTGTTTACACCACATTCCTTTGTCCCTACTCAAATTTGCTTACTCATGTAAAATTTGTGCTTGATGACCCTCTCACAGGTCAGTCAAATGGGAATTACCTATTAATGGTGTTTCTTCTGGGCCCCAGAACTAAGACCTTTTATCATTCATAAAATCATTCTTTTAATCATGTTATTTATTGACAAGCATGTTGACTTAGAACCTCAATTATTAAATATATACTGAATAAATGTGAGGAGGACCAGTGAACAGTGGTCTGTTAGCTGCAATTACCTTCTGAAAGCAGCAGACAAGCATCCATAGCCCACTGAAATCACTGTCCTGGGTGTAAGAGTGTATTTCATTCACCCATCGCTGTCTGGGTCTGCAGGACAGACCTCCGCAGGTGGTGCTCAACGTCTCAGTGTCTGTGCTCAGTCTCTATTGTACATGTTATGGAAAGCTCTAATATAAAGGGAGAGGATTCTATCACTTGTGTAGCAGGATCAATTAAACTGCAGAAGATCATCGTACTATGAGGATTCCATACCCTCCTATGCAGCAGAATAGATTTCCCTGGCTTTCATCTGCTGGCTTTCTTACATTAAATATTACTGCATTTACTTTTGCATACATTTTTAAAATTCTAAGCTATTGACTGCTTATTTCATTAATGTAAGCAACTGTAAATTTTAAAATTAACTATCGATTACTCATAAAAAGAAACATAAAGTGGGCATGGTGAAGATGCCAAGTACAGATACCAGAAAATGAAACTACGAAAGAAACACGTTGCGTAAGTTTAGAGTTGTCAGTGAGCACTGAAGCCATGAGGACCTTGTGTTGACTTTTATATGAGAAAGATCAATTATATTTGACATCCAGAAGGATGGTCACACCAGTGAGAAAAATCTGTAGAGTGATCTGCACAGATCAGAAATTAGAAAGTGATAAAATCACAAACTTGCAACACCAGCAGACCTTCAGTGTATTCAGCATTCAGCTCTTTCTATTTCTTAAAAAAAAATAGATGGGTTATATCTGCATGGAAAATGGAACAAGTGCTTTCTAAGCTGATTCTCCCCGGGAAGTTGCTAATGATGCTCTGACCCAGGATTATGAAGAGGACGTTGATCCCTGGTGGTCGCTGTTGGCAACACGGGATGCTCTCCCCTGGTGGGTGCCTTTGCTACTGATTTGTCCACAAGAGATTTAGGCTGTCATGTGCTGCATGCAGGTGAGTTTTTGAACCTCAGACGAGGAAAATAGCATGGCCACATAGAAGATGAGAAATTGAAGACCTCACTTCATCAGCCACATTCCACGGAAGAGAACTTTTGAACACAGAGAGCCAGGGATGAGCTGGAGAAGAGGAGGGGCCTGGGGAAGATCATCCATTGGAGGAAACACCCAGCCTGCTGGGACTCCTGTGGAAGGAGGGTTTAAATGTTTGTCCTCAGCTAATCAGGGGTATTTCAAGACCTTTTCAAGCTTTCAGAAAGACAGTTTTCCATGAACAAATGTGCAAACTTTACTCAGTTGTATATTTCATAGTTTATTCTTCCTCTCTAGGCAGCACCACAGTAGAATGTTCTCAGAATTCTCCCTGAGCCTTCTTGAGCTCCTGGTGCAGGTCCTGGAGGAAAAGCCTGCATGGGAAGGGAGCCCTCCTCATGTGCAGCCCTGAGGCTGTCACTTCCCCTCATCCACCATCACCCTGCAGTCACTTGGTAACCATCTCTGAGCTAATCTTCCTGCAAAGTGTGGTTTGGGGGCAGTATGTTCACCAGGTGAGAAAATTATTAAGCTCTGTTTCTTTCTGCACCCAAGTATCCCTTTCTGGAGCACAGGTTGGTTCTGAGTGTGTGGTAAGTGGGTAATTAGTGGGAGGATGTTTGTGTGCATCTTGTCGTCTCCCAGAAAGCACCTGCCATGGGGATGACACTCACAGGCAAGCAGATGGACTTGCTCAGCTGGAAGATGACAAACATTTTCATGACCTAGGACCTCAGTGCTGCTCTTTCCCTGTAAGACCAAGTGTGATTATGCCTCTGGCTAATGATCAGTCAGCAAGGGTGGCCAGTGCCCACCCCTGTGAGGGCTCCTTCCAGGTGCCCACTCACTTTGTAAAGGGAAGCTTCTGTTCCTGCCTGGGTCCCATGCATTTTTGCATTTGCTGCATGAACCGCCTTATTCAGAAACCATCACCCAAGAGCATCCAGTGTATCTAATCCACCTCTAGGGCATTACACATGGAGTCTCTCATTGCCAGGGTCTCCAATCTCAGTAAAGGATGTCCATTATAGGATTCACCAGAACTTGCGGGTCTTTTAGAAACATGAACCTGCCTCTAAAAGCTAAAAATCCTACTCTCTGGGAAGGGCATTGTAAACCAGAAGTAAGATAGGCTCTAAATTAATATATATTTTGTGGATTTTGGAGGAAAAAGTTAAATTGTTTTAGCCTCACCCACTTTTTCTCTAACTAATATCATTTCTAGAAAGCCACTGTAAAAACCTGTGGTGCTGAGTGCTCTGAGGTAATTTAGACTTTTTATATTAGGAGATCAACAGAAAAAGACCCAAGTGTTCTTGTAGATTCATCCATTGTAAGTTATTTGTGACTCTGCTGTAGGATGGTCATAGTGGAGAAGGCTCTGCCTGTGTAGGGCAGGGATTCATGGGAATTCTCAAACTTCCATGCAATTTAATCATAATCCTAAACTTCTCTAAAATAAAATTTATGATAAGGAGTGATAGAAACATTTGAAAAGAAATTTTAGTCACTTTTTAAGAATCATACTTAGTCTTACCACATGATCAAATAATCTTGCTGCCCATTATTGATTCATCTAATTTGACAACATGTTCAAAGCAGCACCTTCCTGGAATGTCTGCATCAACTGTATTGAGTGTGGCCTTTCCCACTCTGTGAATTAGCTTATATGAATGACTCTCGATTGGATATTTCTCTTAAAATGAGAGTGTGCACTTGTTTCCACTGTTATTTTCTCTCAAATAAAGAACTCATTTTGTAAACAGCCTTGAACCTAATAACCCCTGTCATCTCCTCAGCTCAGCACAGCTTCCCCTTACTGGGGTTTCTGACACTCTCAGGATGTGGTTTAACACTGTGTCTCTCGCACAGTAATACACGGCCGTGTCCTCAGATCTCAGGCTGCTCAGCTCCATGTAGGCTGTGCTCGTGGACTTGTCCGCAGTCATGGTGACTCTGCCCTGGAAATTCTGCACGTAACTTTGTGTTACCATTACCAGGGTAGATCCCATCCCATCCACTCAAGCCCTTTTCCAGGGGCCTGTCGCACCCAGTGCATGTAGTGGTTGGTGAAGGTGTATCCAGAAGCCTTGCAGGAGACCTTCACGGAGGCCCCAGGCTTCTTCACCTCTGCCCCAGACTGCACCAGCTGCACCTGGGACTGGACACCTGTGAGAGGAGACAGGAGTGAATAAAATCTTCTTTGACCAAATCAGGGAATCCTTCCTCACCTTTGGAACTAGGAAGCCCCTACCTGTAGCTGCTGCCACCAAGAAGAAGATCCTCCAAGTCCAGTCCATGGTGATGAGTTCTGCCCACTGGGGCTTCTTCAGAGGAGGGATGTGGTTGTTGGATGATGCTTGCAGGAAACCAACACATCTATATTTATCTCAGAGGACCTCAGGTTGTTTGCATATTCATGAGTCACAGTATTTCACAGCTTAAAGCCTGATCTAAGATGAGAAGGAAAACACAGATGCCACCTCAGCCATACAAGAGTGGGATGCTGAAAGACCAACCCTAATCGTCCTGCCTGAGGAAATGCATCCCCTGCCCCATTTCTAAGCTTTCTGTGGACGGTACTCTTCCCACTGAAGAACAAGTCCCAACCCAGGATGTGCTCCTCACATTTTATTGGCATAGAGATTACCTGGATTGTATCTGGGACCATCAACTGTCTTTGACCATTGAGCAGGAAACTTGACTCCATCCTGGTCCCATTAGGAACAGTCAGAGCTCACTGAAAAGTGGCCAATAGTTATCCACATGAGTGTCCAGCAGGGCCCATGGACAGTTCTGAGGTCTGCTGGGCACTCCCCAGCACCTGCCTGAGAGTCCTGAGCTCCCAGGCCCTTCAGCGGAAAGACTCTGTTTACCAGATTTGCCCTGTAATGTGTGACTGGTTTTGAATTTTCCCTCCCATTGACAGTAGGAATGAGGGATATGAAATATAAACAGAAAATTGAATTTCTCAATAAGCCCATAGGTCTCCAAATAATTACAAAGTAATTTGCATTTTCAGTAAGTTTGAGTTTTATTTCAAACTTCATTAAATAGAATTATTTGAAGTATTTACATACTTTTCAATTCATACCCATAGATCATCGTCTTTACATATTCATTTCTGATTCTCTTGGTCTGTGCACCTGCCACACTCTGGAATCCCACCACTGCCAAGTCACACACACTATATAAGAAACATTACCTGGCTCTGAAAACTGAATATCTTATCCATTGAAATCTAGTGTCTCCCACAGTTATGTAATTATTCAATTAATAAAACCATCCGTTTCTTTCATATTCTTACCATGAAGATATTTATTATCCTATAATCCCACTTTAAAATACAGTTTTCATTGCTTTATTCAGTGATATAAGTGGTCCATATAAAATAGGATATTTAAAGGCATATTGGCAACTTGTTGAAGAGTTAAGTTAGAATGATTTTTTGAATAAGGAAGACTCAGGGACTGAGAGAATATATCCCATTACTTATCTTCCACAAATAAGTGAGAACATATAGTTTGCTTTTTTTTCTGTTCCTGCATTAGTGTGCTAAGAGTAATGAACTCCAGTTTCATCATGTTTTTTTCAGGGGACATAATTTAATTCTTTCTTAGCTGCATAGTAGTCCACGGTTATATGCACCACATTTCCCCCTATCTATTCTGCCAGTGATGAGCAGTTAGGCACATTCCATGTCTATGCCATTGTGAATAGTGCTGCAAGGAACCTACATGTTTATATTCCTTTAGGTATGTGCCTAGTTGTGGAATTTTGGGGTCAAATTAATCTTCTGTTTTAGGTTATTTGAGGGACCACCACACTGCTTTCCACAGTGGTTGAACTAATTTATATTCTCACTGGAAGTGTAAAATGTTTTCTTTCTTCCTGCAACCTTAGCAGCATCTGTTATTTTATTTTTTAAGATTAGCCATTCTGACTGATGTGAGATGGTACCTCACTGTAGTTTTTATGTGTATTTCTCTAATGATAGTGATATTCAGCATTTTACTTCTTATTGGTCACATGTAGGTCTCTTTTTAAAGTGTCTTTTTTATGTCCCTTGGCCATTTTTTTTTCTTGTATATTTAAGTTCCATCTATGTTTTGAATATTAGACCTTTGCAGGTGTATAGGTTTCAAATGTTTTATTTTCCATTCTATAGGTTGTCTCTTTACTCTGTTGATGGTATCTTTTGCTATGCAGAAGCTCTTCAGTTTGTTTACATTCATTTGTTAATTTTGATTTTGGTTAAATTGCTTCTAGCATTTTTGTCATAGTCTTTGCCAGTTCTTGTGTCCCAAATTGTATTTCCTAGATTATTATTCAAAGTTTTTTTTACAGTTTTAGGTTTTACATTTAGATCTTTACTCCACATGTAATATTTTTCAATTGATGCTGAAAAGGCGTTTGATGAAACTAAAAATCCTTTCATGAAAGAAAATCTTTAAAAAATGGGTATAGAAAGAACACATCTTAACGTAATACAAGTTACATCAGAAAGACTTTCAGGGAGTACCATATTGAATGAGAATAACGGAAAGTCTTTTCTCTGAGATCCAGAACATGACGTATTTCCCTCTTTAACCACAAGCAGAGCATAAACCCTTCCGCTGCCACCGCAGGCGGCTCCTACCTGCCAGCACCACCTGCGGGCCTGATGCTGAAACTGCACGACCTAATACAGAGTCACCACCACCAGTCACAGCATGTGAAAATGATACTGGCTTTTCAACCCTTCAAAAGAAGTCAAAAGAAGATTGAGAACCAACACAAGCAAATCAGAAAAGCTCAAGATTTATGTAAGACTTTGATTTTTTTTAAAATGATCTTCAGGTAATGAAGACTTCATTGAATTAATTACAGTTTAAAGCTTTACCAATGGACTATACTAAAAAGAAGAAAGAATGTAAAATGTAAGAGACAGATATTTCCAATTAATTCAGTCACATAAAAATAAAAAAATGAACAAAATTATGGTGAAGTATTGGATAATGTGAAACAACTGAGCCAATGAATCATGGATATTTCTAAGGGATGAATCTAGATGGATTAAAGATTTCAACATGAGTTCTAACACCATAAAAACTCTAGAAGAAAACCTAGGCAATAGCATCCAGGACATTGGCATGGGCAAGGACTTCATGACTAAAACACCAAAGCAATGGCAACATAAGTCAGAATATACAAGTGGTATCTAATTAAATTTAATAGCTTCTACGCAGCAAAAGAAACCATCAGTTGAGTGAACCAGCAACCAACAGAATGGGAAGCAATTTTTGCAATCTACTCATCAAAGTGCTAATATTTAGACTCTACAGAGAACTTAAACAAATTTACAACAACAACAAAAAAAACAATGTCATCAAAAAGTGGGCAAAGTATATGAACAGGCACTTTTCAAAGGCACACGTTTCTGCAGCCAACAAACACATGAAAAAAATCTCATCATCACTGATCATTAGAGAAATGCAAATCAAAATCACATTGAGGTACCACCTCATGCCAGTTAGAATGGCGATCAGTAAAAAAATCAGGAGACAACAGATGCTGGAGATGATGTGGAGAAATAGGAACGTTTTTACACTGTTGGCGGGAGTGTAAATTAATTCAACCATTGGGGAGACACTGTGGTATTTCCTCAAGGTTATACAAATAGAAATACCATTGACCCAGCAATCCTATTACTGGGTATATACCCAAAGGATTAGAAATCATTCTATTATAAAGACACATGCACACATATGTTCACTGCGGCACAGTTTGCAATAGCAAAGACTTGGAATCAGCCCACATGCCCATCAAAGATAGAATGGATAAAGAAAATATGGCACATATGCACCATGGAATACTATGCAGACATAAAAAAGAAGAGTTCATGCTCTTTGCAGGGACATGGATGAAACGGGAAACCATCACTCTCATCAAATTGACACAACCACAGAGAAGCAAACACTTCATATTATTACTCATAAGTGGGTGTTAAACAATGAGAACACGTGAACACAGGGAGGGGAACATCACACACAGGGACCTGTTGGGGAGTAGGGGGTTAGGGAAGGGATAGCATTGGGAAAAATACCTAATGTAGATGACGGGGTGATGGATGCAGCAAACCACCATGGCTTGCGTATACCTGTGTAGCAAACCTACACGCTCTGCACATGTACCCTAGAACTTAAAGCACGTGTATGTAAAAGAAGAGAACCTCCCCCTGCACCTGCTCCTGGACCTGTCGTCAGAGGTGCCTGCGCGCCCCCTGGTGGCCCCGCGCGCCCCTGCAGGAGGTTTGCGTCCGGGCTCACACTGACCTCCCCTGTGTCTCACACAGTAGCACAGGGCTGTGACCTCGGTTTTCAGGCTGCTCATTTGCAGCTACAGCGCGTTATTTGAATCATCTCTTGAGGTGGTGAATCTGCCTT